TAACTGTCTATTGCATGAGCAAATAATTGAAATAGCAATTAAAGGTGGTGATACAATAAGCAAAAATATACTATCAACATTCATTAGTATTGATAGCTAAACTAATTCAAATTATTTAGCATAGATTTTGAAACTGAACTAAAAATATTTTTCAATTACTTTTTATATAGCAAATATTTAATTTGAATTTTATAATATGCAATGAATTTTTGAAAAAAAAAAGTAATTTCGAAATTTTAATATTTATAAATGAAAATAATATGTAAATTACATGAAAAATTGTTAATTTATTTTATAAATTTAAAAACAAACTTAGAATTTTTGCATGAAATATTAGAAAAACTATTGTGTAAATTATGGAAAAATTAAAAAATATTTTTCAAATAGATTACTAATTAATTTAAATTAAATTAGCGGCAGTGAAAATTATGTTAGTGAAAATGTTAGTTTTATTAAAAGCTTCAAAATTTTTTTAAAATATTAATTAGTTTTAATTCCATAAAATTGTTCATTATATTACTTTTTATTGCTAAAACAATAAGAGTTACTTTTTTGTTAATTACATTTCTAAGCATTAATTAATTATTATATTAAATTATTTTATAGTGTTTATATGCTAATTCATTAGATTTTGCAAAACATAAAAGACTTTACATCCTGCAATGTAATTTAATTAGTCAGCAAAATAAACATTAAATACATTTTTTTATCAAAAATAACGATGCGTTTTCAGCTTACTCAAAATTGTAAAATTATTTCATTTCAAATTTAAATCAAAAATAGTGTTGAATTTATTTCCATACGTATTTTTTGGGCAGTTAATGAAAAATTATTTTTGATTTAAATTTGAAATAAAATAACTTAATTTTTCAAAAATTAGTTGTCAAAAAAATCATTCAGATATTTGAAAAAAAAAGAATTCGGCATTGTTTCAGATTATTATTGAAGCTAAAATTATTATATTAATTAAATTTTCCGTTTTTTTTTCAGATTAATTCCGGAATTGTAAATGATAGAAAAATTATTGAATGATAAGGTGTTAACGCAGAAATAATTTGATTTCAAATTTAAAATGATAATTGCAAATGATAATCCAATAAATTATGCTTTATTGCTAATGAATCTGTATCAGTTCATTAACACTTTTTTCTAATCTAATTTTTAAAAATATCAAAAATGAATAATTTATTATTTGCTTATTGTTTGAGATTTATTTTATTTATAAATTTATTCTAATTTTTTTATTTTCGAACAAATTTAATTTAGTAGAAAAAATTTTTGTTGATGGATAAATTAGCTGATTGTTTTAAATTGTGATATGATTAATCAGATAATTAATTGATCGATTTAATTAATGGTATCTTATTATTTCAAATGATATATTAATCAGATAATTAATTGATTTAAATTATAGTTTAATTTATTTTTATTATTGTTTCCAAATGAGCAAATTATTATTTCAGAAATTTTCCATTTATGGAATATTTATGAAATATTTGGAACAAATGAAAAGTTCAATCTGATCTAATAGAATTACCGCAAATATTTCGAAAATTTTCTTTAAAATTGAAGTTTACCATGCATAAACTTAGGCAAAAAAAGAAAGTAACAAAAATAATAGTTTGATTTTATAGTCAAATAAATGTTAAATAGAAAATTATAATTTTTGCTTATTAAAATAGTTTTTCAAGTTTATCAGTAGTCATTGTATCTAATATATTTTTTAATTCTTATTTAATATTTTTCTATCTTTATTTAAATAATAAAACAAATTTTATCATTGAAAAGTTAAATTTAATCAGAGTTATATGTAAAAAAAAAAAAAAAAAAAAAACAGTGTATGATAACTAACTGAAAAATTTAATTCACCAAAAATAGAAATGATAAAATTTATTGAAAATATCTGAAAAAGTTTGATGAATTGAACAATAAGCACACTGATAAATTGTTTCATTTATCAATTGATAAAAAAAGAAAAAATTTTTTTTTTGATTAGTTTAAGCAAAACAAAAAATAAGAAATAAATAATTTAATGATATTTCTGAAAAAAAATTCCTAATGGTATTATCAAAATTAGTTTTAATTTTTCCATCTCCACTATACAAACTACATCTTTCTGATGTATTTTTTAAATTTTTATTTGATATTTTTCAAATTTTATTTAAATAAAATTTTGATAATATATATTTTAAATATGATATATTTTTAAAAATCATCTAGATGATTTTTAAAGATGATAAATCCATGATAAAAGGGATTTATTAATTTCTCCTTCTTTTTTCGATCAAAATTTAACATACATTTGATTGATCAGAAGATCAGAATATAAATAATAATCATAAATTGATCAAAAGATCAATATATAAATAATAATCATAAATATATTATCATTTTGATCAAAATTTAGTGCTCAAATAATAAACATAAATTTTATTAGCAAATTTTAATGCATTCAATGCAATGCAAATATCAGTTTTAAATTATTTATCAATCAATCATTTTTTTTTATTAGTCATAGATTTTTGTTTTTCTTTTTTGGCTTTAGAAGCATTTTTCTCATTTTTTTTTTTATAAAATGAAAAAATTATCAATGATTCAGAAGTGTTTAAGTAATTATTGATAAGAAGCCACAACATCGATTGTTATCACTGTAGTTCTTAAGCTTAAAATAGTTTTGAAAATTTTTTTAGATACAATAAAAAAGATGGCAGAATGGAAATTTAGCAAATGTTTAGATATATTTATTGATTCATCCATATTATACCATAATTTGAAAATATTATTTTATTGTATGAGCGCATTTTGAAATGAATCAAATTGCGCTTTTGTTTAGCAAAAAGAAATATTTTGTTGAATTTGGTTTGCAAATAAATGGCTTTAATGTTTGTTTATTTGCAAATTATGTAATAATAATATGTTTAGATTGAAAGATTATCAAAAATTTTAAGTGTAATTTATTTATTTTATATTTTCGTTTTTTTTTGCTTTTGCTTTTGCTTTTTTTCTTTTTACTTTTTCAAAATCTGTCCTATTTTTATTTTTAGAAACTATTCAAAAAAAAAAAAAAAAAAGAAAGAAGGAAATGAGCTCTTTTCTGTTGTTATACAAATAATACTTTCTAAAGAACATTTACAAATATAAAATATTTAAATTCAGTGATTTTTTTTTCAAAATGTATTTGCAGTAATGATTCATTCATTATATGATGTTAGAATAATGAAGATGAAGTTGATTAAAATTAAATTTATTTCATATTTGACATACAAAATATTTTCTCCTACAAAATCATTCAATGATAATACAATTAAATAAATAATCAAAATAAAAATTAAAAAAAAAATATTTAATAGGCAGATACAAAATTGCTGTAAAAAACAAAACAAATACTATAAGTCATCGAATTAATTTTGTAACTTTCAAAAAATTTTTCGGTATTGAAAGTTTTAAATTGCTTATTTATTTTATTTATTTTGAATAAAAGAGAAAAAATTGAGATAAGCAAATGTAAAATAATTTTAAATTTCATTATAACTTTAAATATATAATTTAAAGTTATAATGAATAAATTACAATAATTATTGTAATTACATCATTTACATTTAATTACTGATTATGTCCCAAATCTAATTTATTGTGATATTATTAAGAAAAAAGAATGAATTTTAATAATTAAAATATAAAACAGCACGAGATGAAATTTTACAAATTTTATTAAAATTTTATAATAATTCTCTTGAAACAATTTCATTTATTTATACATTCTTATCAATAATTATCAGTAATTGTACTACGATACAATAATATCTGTGATAAATTTTTATTTTAAATATATAAAATTTAAATATTAAATGAAAATTATTAAAATTTAAAGAAAAAAAAAATCTTTTAGCTAATTTATCATTTTCATTTTTATTTTAGTTGAATCATTCCGGAAATAAATTTTTTTTTTTTAAAAAAAAGGAAGGAAATAGAGAAAAAAAATTAAAATGATGGGTATTCTAACAAATTTCCTAAATATGCAACAGATAAATTTTTGTTCAAAGGAAAAAAAAAGAACTGATAAAATGTACTCAATTAAATTCAGTACTTTCATTCATTGATAAGGACAAAAAATTTTTTTTATCACTAAATTGAATCATTTTATCAATAAAGCAAATAAAATTCGAGAAAAATAAACCTTTCATACTATTGGCTGTTTTTTTTTTTTAAGAGAAACATAATAAATTCCATGTAAGTTTCATGTATTATCATCATTACGATGGATATCAATGGTTCTTTTCCTCTTTTTTTTTTCAATTCAAACATATCAGTGCTTTTTGTTATGATAATGATTGTATGATAATGATTTTCCTTTGGTTTAAATTATCACAGCATTTGCTATTCATTTCATTCGTTCCTAAAAAGAAAAAATTTTATAATGTTTGCATAATATAATATTAGTTTCGCTGATAATTTTAAATTTTAATCTTATTGTCAAATTTAAAATTTAATGCATTTCATTAATAAGCTGTGCATTTCATAATTAAACAGCTAATAATTGTTAATCGTTTATTTTTTTTTTTTTTTAATTCGCTTAATAATTATTAAAATTAATTGTTTGTTAAGTTATTAATGTTTATTGTTGCTGCAATAAGGACTTATAAAATCATTAATGCTATAAATAAGCTGTATATTTCATGATAAATGCTGATAAATAATCTATTTATTATAATTATTATTTGTTTTATTTATTTTTTTTTAAATTTTATATTTACTAAAATTTATTTTTATTTTTAAATTATTAATGCTTTTTTTTCGTAATAATAAAAATTTATAAAATTTTATCATTTTAATCACTAATACTATGCCCATTTCTGGCAATAATAAGGACTAATTCCAATTACAAATGTAGGAAATAAAATAATTTTTGTATAAAAATTGCATAAATAATAATAAATATTTTTTGACAAATATTTTTTTCAATTTTAATATTTTTTATAGGAAACAAATATCAGCGAAAAATGTTTTCACATATTGTTGCAACTATATCTATCATTTTTATAACACTCGCATTTGCTGCAAATCAAGGTCATCCTTTGAATATTTCATTTTTTTTTTCTTTTTACAATATGAAAGCATTAATTTAATTTCAATTACCAATTAATAATTATGATAAAATTAAATTTTAATTAGTAATTAATAATTATGATTTAGGAAGTGATTGATTCCGAAATAATTAGATTTATTTGATTGTATTTAAAGTTGTAACAATTATCTAACTTTATGAAACTATTAATTCAAAATATATTAAAATATAATTTGTACAATATAAAAGCTTTTCGCAAAAATTAATAATGTATCATTTTCCAAATGATCAGAAGGGCAGAAAAATTGATCAGATTTATTATTGATGACAAAAGTAATCTCGAAAATTCTATCTGAAAGTTGACACTATAATAGATTGTTATTAAAAATTTTTATTATAATGTGTGCTTTACTTCGTTTTCAGGATGTAAAAATTAATATATTTGTTGAATTAATATAATTAATACAACAATAATTAATATAAAAGTTTATATAATTATCGAATTTATAAAATTAATATGAAAATTCATACAGTCATTGAATTAATTTGATCAAAAAATGTTTGCATAAATTTAAATGATTTAATAACTGAAATTCTGCAACAATTATCAGAAATATTTGTATAAATCTATGAAATTTAAGTTTTTCATTATTTTTTTCTTCAGTTTGTGAAGATATGTATAATCAATGCGAAAGCACAATTTGCACTGATCCAATAGCAAAAGAAATTTGCGCTAAAACTTGCGGATTTTGTGAAATGACAACTTCTACGGCTGTAACACCTGGTAAGCATTCAGATAAGCTAATTAGTTTTAATTTTGAATAGTTTTAAATTTGAAAATTTTAAATTCTTAAACTTTTTTTTCAAATTTAAAATTTAAATTTGAATGATAGTGTATTTGCAAATATTTCTTCACTAATTCTTAACATTTTTGAGTTTGTAATGACGCATACAATCAATGTGACAGTACAATTTGCACTATGCCAATAGCTAGTGAAATTTGCGCCAAAACATGTGGATTTTGCGGAGTAGCGCCTTCTACAGCAGTAACACCTGGTAAGCTTGTATCGAGAAAAAAAAAAGTTAGACGATAAATATTTAAATAAAAGAATTTTTTCATTAATCCAAAATGTTTAAATAATTTTCAGTTTGTAATGACTTATTCGATCAATGCGATCAAACAATTTGCACAGTTCCAATGTCAAAAGAAATTTGCGCCAGAACATGCGGTTTTTGAACAACACCTCTTGTAACAGTAACACCTGGTAAGCTTATGCAAAAATTGTCATAAAAAAATTTCAATTAAAATTTGCAAGACAGATATTTACAATAAATTCTCCATTCATCGCAGCTTGTGAAGATTTGTATAATCAATGTGAAAGTGCAATTTGCACTACTCCAATAGCTAATGATATTTGCGCCAGAACATGCGGTTTTTGCGGAACAACACCGTCTACTGCATCTACTATTCCCGGTATGCTTATAAACATAGCGCAGTTGTCAGAAAAATTAAACTTAGACGATAAATATTTTACAAAAATTTCTACGAAAGTAACGAAAGCTACAGTAATACCTGTACGACACTTTCCGCTACAGTAATCTGCGACAGTAATTATGATATAAACTATCAGGAAGCTTTCTTATGTTCTACAGTAGTAATTTCCGGATATAATCTATTCCGGTTTTTTTTCTTTTTTCAGTCTGTGAGGACAGATATAGTAAATGCAAAAATAATATGAATTGTACAAATGCATTAGCTAAAGAACTATGCGCTAAAACATGCGGATTTTGTGATAATGATTCGATACCAACACCAGAAGGTACAAAAATATTCATTCTTTTCTCTTTTTCATTTTTTTTTTACTTTACAATTTATTTTAAGTAAATAATAGTATAAAAATTTTTGATGTGAAATTTTTATTCGAAAAAATTTAGTAAATAACTCAAAAATTTTTGAATGAATGTAACTAACAGTAACATTGATTGAAAATAAAAGATTAATTAGTGTGGAACCAAAAAGACTATCATTTGATTTGTCTAGAAGAAATCATGATATGAAAAAATGATCGATCAATCAATAATCAATAATAGATAATTAAATATTGAGAAATAAATATACCAAATGAAATTGATATATAATCTGAAATTAGAGTGATATAATCCTAGGAATTTTTTCTATTTTAAACAAATTTTAAAAAATTCCAAATTTTATTTTAGTATTTTTAATACTACTATTTTATTAGTTTAATTTAAATATTGCTTTTTTTTCTATTCCATTATTCTTTTCCATTTTAAACAAAAAACAAAATAAACAAGCAAAATTTATATTTTCCTTTTTATTTCTTAATAAACGACAATTTTTAATTTTTCACAAAATATTTAATAAACTATTTTAGAATGTTCACAATTATGTCAACCATTGCAATCACTATGCACATTTATTGGATGGATTATGGGACCAATTACGCATGGATTTTGTTTACGTTGTCAACAATGCAAATAAAACAATATTAAATGAATAATTTTAGAACAATTTAATCGCTGAATAATTTGTATTTTTGATAAAATTAATAAACTTTTCATGTTGACTGCTATTACTTACTCGAATTTGAAGTACAAAGGTAAATTGAAGCACAAAAGTAAATTAAATTCATTAAAATGCATTAAACTATCAATTACTGCACAGATAACCATTTAATATTAACTGTAATATAAAGAAAAATTTATTAATTTAATTACTTTCATAGCTCAATCATACTAATTCTTAAAATATAATTCAAATTTTTGATATTAGAAAATTTTCAATTTTGTTTATTTGTTACTGAATCATTAAAAATGAGTAAATTTTATAAAATAAAGTTATGCATCATATGAATCAAAAAAAGGTTTAATTAGTTTACAATCGTATGATTGATGTAACGATTCATTGAATAATTTAAATTTCATTGATAATCATTTATCACTAAAAGATCAGCATTTAACTTTCAGAACTGAAAATTTTGAAATAACGATTCATTGAATAATTTAAATTTCATTGATAATCATTTATCACTAAGAGATCAGCATTTAACTTTCAGAACTGAAAATTTTGAAATATTTTTTAAGTAAAATTTAAATTAAAAAATCATTAAATTTTTAAAAATGGGCAACAAAGTTAATAAAATGAAGGAAAATGATTATTTAATTTTTTACTTTTTCTTGTCCTACAAATAAATCATTGATCTTTTTTAATGTTTTTTTTTTTTTTTTTGTTTTTTTAATTCGTAATTCATTCATACAAAGTATCATCGGATAAATCATATCAACAATACCAGTATTGGATTGTTTTCTTAAGTAAATTTAAAAAAGATATATTTTTAATCGATTTACTAAATTTTTTTTTTTTAAAAACATTCCATATTTATCTTTCATTTCAATTTTTTTGCAAACATTACATTTGAATTTCTTTCACTTTTATCATTATTATGCTGTAGAAAAAGTCGAAAAAAAAATTTTATTGTTAATCGATCAACTTTATATTTAAAAATTATGAGATCAAAAATTTATATTCAAAAAGATTATAATGTCAGATCAAAAAAAAAAGAACTATAATAAATTTTGCATTCCACAAATTATTAATAATTGACATTTTAGTCGATTCTATGATAGCTTTCCTTAATGCATTTAGTAAAATAAAACTGAAATAAGCATTAAATAAGATAAATTAAAAATGATAAATTAAATTAAATAAATTAAATTAAATAAGATAAATTAAATTCAATAAGATAAATTAAATCATATTGAATATAATTGTCAATAAATTGTTTATTTAAGCAAATGTAGAATTTGTAAAAGTTTATTAATTCTCAAATAAACTATATTTCTAGATGATGGCAAACTATAATACTATGCATTCTTAGTAGAATCATCAAAATAATTTAATATTGTTTGCAACTACAAAATTTTATAGCTTAATAAAATTATTTCTAATTTTATAATATATATTATCCATTTCAATGCTATTTTTAATTATGTTTACTATTTCAGCACTACTTTTTATAGTAACACTAATTCAATATTATTTCTAATTCTGTAATATTCTATGAGTTATCCAATTCGGTATCATTTCAATACTATTTTTAGTTTTGTAATATTTAATGAATTATCCAATTTAGTACAATTTCAATACTATTTCAAATTTTGTAATATATAATGAATTTCAAATTTTCAATTCAAATACCAAATGTTAAATGCTATCACATTGTATCTTAGATTCCAAAATGATCTAACAATATTGATTTAATTTCTTTGATCGATATTAAAAATATTTATTTCGTTAAATTAATAGAAAAATAAAATCAAAAAAAGAACTATTGAACACTAATAGATTTTATTAGATAAAATGGCATTTAGCATCAATGCTAAGAGCAAATTTTATCAGCAAAATTAGTGCTAATATATTTATCAATTTAGTGATAACTGTTGTTTTGTTCACTTTTCCCTATAAAAATTCTTTTGAAGACATTCAAATATGTTTATGAAAAAGATTATAATTTTAGATTTTAAGCAATCAGACAAATATTTTTGTAACTTTCAAAAAGTTACCATTTTTACAAACTTATCTTTGCTCTTAGTAAAGCATTCATTTTTTCGTCAATAATAAATCATTTAATTTATTTCTATAAACTTATTTGATTTTAATTAGAATTTTTAAGTTAGTAAAGCTTACTGCTAATAACAATCTTTTTTGTGTTAATTATTTATTTGTTGTAGTTACAAATTTTATGGCATAGTAAAGTTATTTTTAATTAATTTAACAAGTGTAATAAGTTTAAAATTTTTAAAATTACAATAATGCTAGAAATATTTATTTGATAACAAAATATATTGGATAATAAACAGATAGTTGCAATATTCTTAAAAATTTTTAAAATCGATTTAAATGTTTGGAAAAAAAGTGAAAAAAGTAAACAATTTTTATTATAAATGAATTGTTGATTTATTTATTAAAAGCTAAATAAACATTCAATTTGACATTTAGGGAATGAGATAATACTAATATTTCATCTTTTCTTCACTTTCTAGATGTTTCTATTTATTTTATGATTCTTCCATCTTTTTTTTACATTCATAAAAATTAAATAATTAAAATTAATTGGAAATGATGGATTAAATATGAATATTTATTCTAAGTTACATTCCCTTCTCTTTTGCATTTATAATGAAAGTAATAATTTATCAATAAAACACAAATTGTCGGTGTTTTTTTTTGATTTTTTTTATTATTATTATCATATTTAAATTATTGCATTTATGATATATTATAGCATTTTTAGATTTTAGCAATTTTCTTTTCTCTCAAAAAAAATTTTTTTTTTTTTGAAAAAAAGAAAAAAATCAAAAAGATTTTATAATATATCCATGTCTTCTAATTTTTTTGACAAATTTGATAGGAAAAAATTTTAAATTAGAATTTGAACAGCTGAATCATATAGGTTTAAGCATATACACACATACATACATGCATACACATACATTAACATCACACATTCATGGGTGACACATAATATTTTTTTTTTTTTTTGATTGATGACAACAAATATTTGGAATATGATTCAAGGTTTATATAAATAAAATTTAAACATTTAACATAGTATTCAAACAAAATCGTTTGAAAAAAAAAAAAAAAAACGAAAGGTGAAGAGGAGTTAAAATAGCAGTGATAGTCATCAATAGTAGAGTGACAATAAGAGGTGACAGTTTAATGCTAACATGAATTGAGACGGTGATTGTAATTTTTTTTTTTTAAATTTTTTTAAAATTCAGTTATTAAATATATAAATAATAAATTGTGATGATAATTTCAAAACGAAATAAAATGCTATGATTATTTGTTCGATTTATACTCTTAAATTTAACTCATATTTATCTATCAGTTTTCTACCAGAAATACGGACAATAATACAAAAGGAAGTGACAATAAATTTAAAAAATTATTTCATTGAAATTGTTTAAGATTAATTTAAGATTTTCGTATTTCTTTCTTTTCTTTATTTGAGTAATAATTATTTATTTGATTAATAGAATTCTGTGAATTCATTATATTTTGTATAAATTTAATCGAAATGATAATAACGCTAAGGGAATGTTTAATAAATATTAAAATTTACCCTTCGTTTTTTTTTGGTAAATTACAGGAAATGTTCTACCCAACAGGATTTGCTATATCGCTCATTTATTTTGTCTACTGTAATGCAAAAGGTTTGATAAATTCTTGTTTGACATTTTGTTTTTTGTTAAAATTTTAATATAAATTGAATAAATTCTCCCTTTCTTATTTACTTTTCTATTTATTTGCAGTTTTTAAAATATTTTAAAATTGCTAATATTTCTGTCACACAATAACTTAACGAAACAAATTTCTGAGCTAATTATAATAATTTAACTTTTTTGTTCTTCTCTAGCATACTCTTACTTAAGAAAAAAATGTCACATAAATTTCATTAGAATGTAATTATTGTTATTTGTGAAAAAAAATTTTTAATAATTTTGAAAATAACTAATTTCAATGATTTAATTTTAGTATTCCAATAAATTGCAAATAAGTATATTCATTTGGTAATGCATCAATTAAATTCAAATCTTTTTTTTTTCAGTTAGTCAAATCCGATAAATTTCTCGAAAAAAAAATTTTTTTTTAATTTTCTAACTTTGTTAATTTTCAATGCATTTTATTAATTTAATTTTTTTTATTTTTTTTAATTTCATTATTAATTTAATGTTTTCCTATTATTAATTTAATGTAAAATTTTAACTTAATTAACTTAATAGCACAAAAAAATTTGTTAAATAAGAGATGTAAAGGATTTAAATTAAATTTGAATACTATTTCAGAGTGCAAAGATGAATCTAACTTTTGTAATATTACGACAATCGATATTTGCTCTTCATCAAAAACTAACAAATTTTGCCTCGCAACATGTGGTTTATGTGATGATAATATCACTACTGATAATAATGATATCACTACTGTTACTCCAACTGAAGGCATTCATTTCATTTCATTACCTTTAAAATTTTAAGATATTTTCTAACTATGAAAAGTATTTCTTGCTTATGAAAGTTTAAAATAAAAGATTATGCATGAATGTAAGCTATTCTGATAAGAATGGAATGATAAAAGTTTCAAAGTGATAACAACAAAAGCTATAAAACATTCGTGCATTCATTTTAGATAATAATGCCAAAGATTGATTAAATAATTTTCATTATTCTAATTAAAATACGCTTAACTACTAGTGAAATTAATCGTTGATGGAGAATGATTTTTATTCAAAACTAAAAATTAAATAAAATGAAATAAGAAAAGGTTCGAAATATTTATTCATATTTTATATTTTTTATTAATTTTAACAGCAAATTGTATTTAGCATTTTTAATAATAGAAAACAAATTGACCGATAAAATGTTTTTAAAAAAATGAATAATAAATAAAAAGAAAGGAAACAACATTTTTTTTTTCATTAAATAATTTTTCATTAAAAAAAAAAAGATTAATTCATCATTTTTTTTTCATAATAATTTTTCATTCTTTCCATTACAATTTGCAAAGTTTTATATTTAATTTATCACTAGTTTTAGCAAAATTATCATTTTGAAATTAATCTGATTGCATCTCTTTTTTTTTTCTTTAGTAGTATTAATGAAAAATTGCAAATGTATAAATTATTTAACAATTATTATTGCTGAAAAAATTTTAAAAAAGAAAAAAGAAAAAAATGTTTTTGTTTTTGTTTTTTATTTCAGAATGTTCGGATCGATGGATAAATTGTACAAAGCTTAAAAAAGTTGATGCATGTAAAAAAAATTCAAATATTGCAAAAATTTATTGTTATAAAACATGTAGCAATTGTACAGCTATAATATCTCCTACAACAAAGCCAAATATTGCAACGCAAACTAATTCTTTGCTTACAATTATTTCTTGTATTTTAATTTTTGCTACAATGAAACTTATAATTTAATTTAATTTAAAAGGTATGATAAACAAGACAATGGAAAAGTTGTCTCTTTTTTTTTCATTTAATTTAAATACTGTGCTAAAAAGTATGAAACATTTTGAGTAATAGATAAATGAAATTAAATGTATTGTTGAAATTTTTGATACTATTTTAAAATATTATCAAAATTTTTTTGTATGAATTATGTATAATTCATATGAAATGATAATTTCTCATAATGATAATGACAATGATAGTGAAATTGTAATTTTTTGTGATAATTTATTTAAATTTTTTTTTTAAATTACCTGTTAATAATTAAGTTAAAAGATTTATGATAAAAGATAAAAAAAAAAAAAAGATTAGAATCAAATAAAGCATTTAAATGTTGCAATATTTTAATTTTTTTTTTTTTTATCTTTTTTTTTTTAAATATTTGCTTAAAATGAGAGATGGAAGATAAAATTACAAATGTTTCAATCCTTTTTTTTTCAGTTTTTTTTTTTTTGTTTGTTTACTTATGAATTTTCTGTTTACTAACGGATTTCTTTTTTTTTTAAGCTTTTGCAAAAAGGTTAAATTTGTGAATTTATTTGCAACAGAAAATATATAAGATAACAAAATAAGAAATTTTTTTATGAATTATCCAATTATCCTTATGTGTTCAATTTTAATTGTTTTAATCCAATTAAAAAAAAAATAATAATTTAAAATATTTCTTCCTCCAACAAATTATTCTTTCGTATTTATTTATGATAAACTTAAAAAAGAAACAATTATTTTCAGATATCATTTTATCAAAATGATAATTAAGATGTTTGCATGAAATTTAATTCTTAATTTTTTTAATTAAAAAAAAATACATGCTGTATTTTCTCATATTATTGTATACTTGTATCATAAATTTGGTAAATTTACATATTGCAGTATAATTTATTGTTTTTAATATCTCCACAAGGATGAAAATAAATTTAAATGTATGCATTAAATAGAAAACTGAAAAAAATGAAAATAATATTTTTTTATGTATTTTTGAATTTCAGTTTTTACACAATAATTCTATTATGTATTAAAATTCCACAATTTTTAATCTCTTTCTTTCTTTCTTTTTTTTTGCGATAACAAATGTATTCTTTTCTCCTCTTTTATTTTCAAAAAAAAAAAAAAAATTAATGAATTTGTTTACAAAATAAACATTTGAAATAGTTTGTACTATAATATACATTAAAATACATAAAATACACATTTATATTTTACAGAAATACAAAAGTTATTTAATAATAAGTATGAATAACAAATAAGTTGCAATTATGAGAATATTTGTTTGACAAAAATTATTTAAATTGAAAGTTACAAATATATAAATGTTAAATTTTTTTTTTTTTTTGAATACCCACAGTAATTACTAAAGCAATCCTAAGCGAAATATTTATTTTTAAATATTATTTAAATATTAATTTATTCCTGAAATATTATTAATATTGTTTACACTACAGACAAGCAAATGATCACAACAATTCTTGTAATTAATTAAAAATCTTATATATTATGATAATTTGTTTAAACAAAATTTTTTAAAAGAAAAATTCCTAATGAAGAATTTAAGACTAAAGTTTCATTATGATAAATGAATGATGAATGATTATAGAAAATTCTCAACAAAATAAATTTTAAAGCAATTGAATTCATTTTTTTTTTTTCTTTTTGAAAGAATTTTCCCTGAATAGTTGAAAATTTTCTATTCCGTTTTCTTCTGCTGTGGTCCGGTACCAATAATTGGAACTTTCCAAGTAAGCGGTGGATAGAAGAAATACAATGATATTGTTGCAATATTTACAAGAAGTCCAGCAAAATTAGCAACCTGTAAGAAATAATTGTTTTTTTTTTTCATTCATGAAGTAAAATATTATGAATTTAAAAAAGTAAATAAAATTTTTTCTATATCAGTTTCAAGAAAGCATTAACATATTCATATCGTACTTATATTAATTTGTTTTTGAGATAATACTACTTTTTGCTATAAGATTTTAAATTTTCCAAAAATTTTTCAATTCATAACCTTTTAAAAAATACTTAAACTTACAGCAATGTAGTAATTATCAATCAAAATACCAAAAATAGTCCATTGTATTGCCAATAAAAAGATTCCAAATTGCATTTCAGCCGGAATAAATTCCGTATGACCAAATGATATTGCACGTTTCTAAGGTAACAAAACAAAAAAAATATTATTATTATTATAAAAATTTGATGATTTATGCATAACTTTTTTTATGCATTATCGATCCATAAAATTCATTTTTTCTTTCTTTTTTTGCTCTCATTGAACTTTTTTACTAAATATTTTACTAAATAATTAATAACAATTGACATTATATAAAAACTTTTTTGTAGTCTAAAATGCATTGAAATATTAAATAAAATCTATTGATACCTTATAAGATATTCAAAAATATTGCAGATTTTTCACAAAACTATCAGAAATGCTCAAATTTTCAGCATTTGTTCTAAGGAATTATCAACTTCTGATTTGCCGATTTTTTAAGTTCTAATTTACTAACTTTATCATTTTCATTTTTTTATAAAGATTTCAAATAGCATAATAAATAATTAATAAGAAATAATAATAATAATAACAATAATAATAAATAAATAAATAATGGTAATAATAATAGTAAATAATAAACAATAATAATAACAACAATAATAATAATAATAATAATAATAATAATAATAATAAATAATAATAATAATAATAATAATAATAATAATAATAATAATAATAATAATAATAGTAATAATAACAATAATAATAGTAATAATAACAATAATAATAATAATAATAATAGTAAGAAATATTAATTTCTAATTTTACACTTTCGTCTTTTTTTCTAAATACAAGAGAAAATAAGCTTACGATTTCATAGATTTGCCCACCCAAACTGATAATTTGCATAGCAGCGGCAATACTACCCATCACATCAGCTGCTACATCATTAGGTTGCCAATTGACATAAGAAAAGATGCAAAAAAGGGTGAAAAAGAGCGCAAAAAGTTGTAAGCACAAATAGCGCTAAATCAAAAATATAATAAATTTTAAAAACTTTAATTTTTCTTTGTTTTTTTTTTTAGCATTAACCATATCATTAAGTTTCTTTGCTATTCTTAATAAATTTTTTTTCATTATTACAATTAAAATTCTGAAAAAGTATGAATGCAATTAAGGTAGGAAAATGATAGCAGATTAATTAGCTTAGAATAAAATAAACATTAAGTTGGATTATTCTATTGTAATAAGATTTTTAGTTGCATAATTGTTTTTTTTTTTTTTGCTTTAATTTTAGTTTTAAAATTATGGAAATGATAAAAGTATTACGGAAGCGATAAATTATAATACAAATTTGTATGTACGGAAATACTAACACGGCAAGGCTGATAAAATGCAAATGCAATGATATAACCGACAAAGACAATCAAATTTATTGTATTAATGAAAATATTTGTAAAATCATTCGTCATATATCCATGTCGTAACCAACAACCCATCCTAAAATTATTATTAAAATCATTTCCGAAAATATAAATATTTTCATAAATATCTATGTTATAAAGTTAGTTTTTGCTTTACTTTATTTCTTCATACTTATGCAAAATGAGATCAAAAAATTTTTTGATTAATTTTTAGCTCATAAATAAATGATAGCTCATATTTTTTTTTAATGATATTAATAGCAAAAGATGGATTTAGCCTTCGAAAAGGAAGGAATGTATGTTTATTTGAATTCAATAATTTTATAATTTTACATAATGAAAAAGATTTTTAAAATTTGAAATAGCTCTTAGCTTTGCTTGACATTATGTTATGAATTGTGTCATTTTAGCCAATATGCTATATAAGAAGAATTTTTTTAATTAATTTTATGCTATTTCAATAAAAACTTCTATAGTACTGATCAAAAATTAAGAAAAAAACATACACAACAAAATTTTAAGGGAAAAAAAGTAGAAAAAAAGAACTAACATTAGGACAGGTAAAACAAGATTAATAGATGAGAAGCCATCAGCAGTACCACGTTTTCTCCAATTTAATACTTGAAGCCTGAAATATGAATCATTAATTTATATTATATTATATGATATGAATATTACATCACTTTCTTTCTTTTTTTTGTTTTAGATTTTTAAAATGAACAGTTTAGTCTATGACAATAAAAGTTAATTAATATTGAAAATGAAATAATGCAACTGAATAGCTTAAAGTGCATGCTATCAAAGTTACAATGATGAGGTAATATAAAAATATTATTATCTAATCTAAAAGAAAAAATCAATTAAGTTTTTTAACTGTTGTGAATAATATTAAAAAAAAATTAATTAAATTAGTAATGTTGAAAAAAAAAAATTTTTTTTTTATTTCTTTAAATGATTAAAATTTAAAAAAGAACTTGCATTGGTAAAAATGTGAAGCAAATGGAGAAGAATGTCAACCATACGGCAAAAATTGATAGTAATGCAACCATCTTGTAAATTTCAAAAAATTTAATCTGTAAAATTGATTTTGTAATAAAATATCTCAAAATTTAAATAATATATCATCAAAAAAAAAAAAAAAAAAGGAGAAATAAAGAAGAAAAGTGTTTGTTTCGTTCGTTTTAGAGATCTCAAATGGTAACGATTAATACATAAATATATATATCGCAATGAGATAGATAATAAACAAGATAATTAGGTTTCATTTTTTTAAAATTATAAATTGTAAATAAAATCATATAACTATTAAAGCGTGTATGTGACTGCTTTTGATAATTTTGAAATTTTACTCGATCAAATTACCTAAAAAATTGCCCGTTTCATTTGAATGAATTTTCCTATTTAAAATAAACAAATGGAAAATGAAAAAAGGCAAAGCAAAAAAGGAAAAAAAAGAAAGAAGAAAAAAGATGGAGAAATAGAAAGATGAAGCAATAAGATGCTTAAAGTAGAATACAACAAATTCAAAAAGCTTTTTTTTTTTTTCAATTAAGAATAACCTGCTTGTTCCAAACAACATGTTTGTCACTCATTGTGTTTTAGTTAATCGATGTCTTTTTTTTTTTTTTTACTGAATAAATTGAAATGAAAATCTTTTTTTTTTTTTTACTGAATAAATTGAAATGAAAATCTGTCAAATTTTATTCTTTCGTTCCAAATATATTCCCATTTCCACTTGATTTTTTTTTTCTTTTCTAAAGCGGAAATGAGATCATTAGAACAATATTGATTGCAATAAGTATAAGATTTCGTTCTTTAAATTTTAAAGTAGCACTTATTTGAAGTATGGATAATTGACAAATGGTGTAGCATGCTATTTAGTTAGATGTAAAGAAGCTAAAAGAAATATATAGCCATAAAAAAAGAAAAGAATGCTTCAAAAAAAGAAAAAACTCATTTAGTATGATTTGTTTTCTTTCAAAATGTTAAGTGAATTTCGAAAGTTTAGTTTCATAGGTTAGTATCAACAGGTAGCTTATGCATTCTATATGAAATAGTTTTCTTTATAGATTTCTATAGATTCAATAAATTTTCTTTCTTCTGAATGAAATTAAATTCAACTTAAAAAGATTCCACATATTTTTATGTGTGTAAAAAGAAAATCATATCTTAAGTAAAATAAACAAAACTTGTTCAAATTATTAATTCAATTCGAAAAAGAAAAAATTTATCTTTGTGCAAATTTATTCCGCTGCTAGAAAGCATACAGTTATTTATACATATATATAATTATTTCTGTTATTTCACGTTTAATGGTTGGAAAAAAAAGTGACAATAAGCAAATCAACAAAACAAAACAAAACAAAAAAGTTCATTTTAATAAATCATTAATAACTTATCTGATAGATGTAAATAACGAGGAGAAAAAAAAAAGTTATGGAATTTTTGTGTCAATGAAATTTAAAGGATAAAAAATTATTCGATCATTTTTATATATCATTTGGTTAGGCTTCAATAAATTGTAAACTGCTTAGTGCATTAGAATCTGTAGTATCGGATATTGTCAAAAATTAAAATCAAAAATGTTTACATGCATGGAAATATTATCAGAAAATACTTTTGCAATTAGAGAAATCAATGTAATTAGATGACCTATCGTGTTATGCTGATGAAAGATGAGGACAGATTGAATGACAAAATTAGCGGACAGAAAGCATCAACGAATGAAACAAACAAACATCGCTAAGAAATGCAAAAATAAGTGAGAAAGAGTGTGAATTTAAACATCTCTAAACATAGGGGAGGTAATTATGGCATAAACAGAGAGAGAGAGGGGGAAAAAGAGAGAGAAGGTGGAGAAGGTTTGTTGATAAAACTCGATTACCAGTAAGTGAGTGAGTGAGTGGATGGGTGAGTAAGTGCGCCGATGCTGAAGTATTTGCGCTAAAATGTTGAGTACTGACGATAAGTTAGTACTAACGCCCTTTGTTTGTATGACATAATAAGGATATACATAACTTTGCTTGCTGATCTTTGACCTTGCGGACAACATTTTAATCAGAATTTCTTCATAATATTCACAAATTAACCAACGCAAAAAAAAAGGTTTTGATTTTAAATATAAAAAAAAAAGAAAAAAAAAAACATAGAAAGCAGAATATTTTAACAAAACATTTTTACTTGTGATAAAATTGTCCAGTAAAATAAAATATTAATACAGAAGTATAACCATGAGATAATATTATACTAAAGTTATAGACTTACCATAATAGAATATACTAATTTCAGATGATAAAACAAATGCAAACAGAAAAATAAGTAACTAAAAAAATACAATCACTCTAAATATAGAAATAAACGAACAAAAAACTATACCAATTAAAGAAAAAAAATCAATAATTCGAAACCAAAAAAAATTTAAGACTTGCTAATATGAAAAAGATTTATTAACAGCAAAATATTTGAATTTTAAGGCATATAATTTCTTGAAACGAACATCAATGCGCCAACGAAGAAAAAGGTCACAATTTGCAGCAATGTTTGGCATAATCGGTGACAATGACATAATGTTTATCCCAAAACACAATTGACAGAATAAATATTACCCAATGAGAAGAGAAATAAGATAGTATGGGCAGAGGAAGAACTTATTGAAAAAAAGTAACCAATGCCTAATTATCTGAGAAATGATTTCACCATTACTGCAGCGAAACTTAATCAGTGATTTCCTTGTACAAAATTTGTTTAATTTTTCAACAATTCTTGAAACATTATTTAATTGAGATTGCATATTTTACAGTTTCAGTATTTTAATCTATTAAAGAAATTAAAGGAGTTTCCAAAAGTGTAAATGCTGTACAGCTGAGGTTTTTTTCTTGACTTTCTGTGATTTACAAAATATATATAACTATGATAATGAATCTATAATCCATTGCAGAGCTAAGAAATATGTTGCACTCATTACTTTCTTCTTTTCCTTTCTTTATAATAATATGAGTAAAGTATCTATTTGTGTGCTTGGAACATTGTAGCAATTTTGTAATCTGATCAATTTACATGGACAAATGTAATAGGAATGATTGTTAGAAGAATACAAATGGATAAATTTTACTCATTGCTTTCCTATTATGTTCTTAGAAGATTCATCTTAATAAGATGAATGTTTAAAATGATTTATCAGTTTGTCAGTTATATATGTGTAGTTTTTCAGCGATTATGAATGCAAGCGTGCAAGGTCCAAATCTACCAATTTTGGTAGATTTGAAGAAATTTGCGTCATTTGCGCAACGAACCGCTGTACTTCAAAGTGTTGGAAGATTATTTACGAAATGCGGCGAGCCTGGTATGTTTATTTTTAAACTCGTATGTAATTTACTGGTGGTAGATGTTTTAATTTACTTCTTGAACTTGTTGTTAGTTGCATTAACCATATGATTTTTTTTTTTTTTTAGATTAATGATTTGAGGGCGAGGTTGGAGGGAAGAGGAGTTGGAAGTGTTCCGAGAACTCCTGGAGCACGAGCGTGAAATGGAGTGACAACGCCAGAATGAAGAAATGCTCGTGCTTGACTTCCTCGAACGAGAAGAAGAAGCTGAGCTGCAGCAGCCAATACGAAATGATGAACCAGGCACTGGTTCACGATGAAGGGAACTTGGAGGAGGTGACAATGGTGGAGTGGCGACCGGTACCACAGGAATCGAGTGAGGAAGTGTTAGACGTGGTACCAGCAGCGCCCGCAAAAGTCCCAAAGCGCAGACAAGTGGAACGAAGTCGCGAGATAGCACTGTAAGTTTCATTTCTAACCAGGAAATAGCAAAGAATAACGGACACTATAGTACACTTTGCAAATGAGCATGTTGGATAAAAAAAAATAATTCGTAGCGGCTAGTTTTTTAAAAAGTCTTAAATATGTTTCAGGCGTTTGCGAACAATACGCGTTCCAGCTGTGGAAGAAGAAGATTGTGACGCAGTACAATCCGGTCTGGCAGCCTTCCAAGCGCTGGTAGTGGAAGGCTTACCGCCTCAATACCGATAGCTACTAGTGGCAGCGGAGATCGATCCGTACACAGTAATTCGAAATGCTGACGGCTCGGCTACAATTGGTAAATTTAAATTTGCTTCAATTACAGTTTTTTTTAGGTTTTTAATTTTTAATTACAGGTTTTTTTTCTTTAAATTTATTGTCCTATATAAGCAATTTGAATGCATCTTGATGTTACTATGATATTTTCAGAGTGCGATATGCGCGCGAAAGAATTTGGGACCTTGAAAGGATGGCGAATCCATGCCGCCAAAATGCACAAGCAGAATGGTGAGTTTCACTTCATTTCTAAGTGTAAGAGCAGCTTTCGGGACCATTTTTTTGAAAGTTCATTTGTGATGGTAACTTTATTTGCAAAGTAAAACATTTCCTATTAAAATATATTTATTTCAGGCTTTTGCCAGAAGTGCGGCCATTTCATTGATATGCCGCATGCGAGCTCCGATGAAGAAAGAGCAGCCACGATGGAACTTCATGCCTTGGAATGGTGTCCCAAGGCGACAAAGGCTGTTATAAGTGAAAGGGCTGCTAAGCGAAGAAGGCTCGAGCTGACTGGTAAAAGCGATGAGGCTCAGCACTATTACGTTCCAAATAAGTGAAAATTTCGCTTTTCAAACAATGTTATCAGAATTAATTTATTTGTTTTCAGTTAATCTCCGCACTTTTTTTCAGATGCACAAGTGTGATGCAATTTCTGTCGATGAAACATTGTCCTGTGAAGAACCAACCTTGCCCAACATTCGCCTGCTTCAGCGCTGAGATCCTTATTTTGACGCAAGTTTTTTATTTCTTTTTCAATTAGCCGACTAATCCTGGATTTTTTCATTTTTGAGTTACTGATTTTGAAGTTTTTTTTTTGAGGTTTTCTAACTTCGTTTTTGATTTTTGTGTTTTTGTGGTTATGAACTGTTGAGCTTTATTGCTTATGTTACTAATTATATGCTTCGAATCATTAATTTCGAAGTTCTAATCTCACCAGTGAGTCTCGAAAATTTTTCATTTATTGTT